CTCAGGTCCAGGTAAATGACATCAGTCTTCATGAAGGAGAGTGGCCATAGAGCTGGTGCTAGAAAACTGGATTCTACCTCTGTCAGTCAAAGAACAATGAGGTGATGTGTTTGCAAATGTTTTTTTTTAGAATCACTACCCCTCAGCACCTTGGGGCTGAGCTGCCATGCAACAGCAGCTGGAGACCTAGAATGTACACTTCCCACAGAAGACTAAGGACTTGAAAAACATCACATCCCCGACCAGTTTTGACCATAGCATACCTGCTCCTCTAGAGAAGTGCCAAAGGAGGAGCAGCTCACCTGCCAGCTGGCTGAGCAGCTCTGCTGCTGTATCACTCTTTGACTTGTGCCCAGGCAAGTGTCTTGTGCACAGACAGAAACTCCAGTAAATGCAACCTGAACAGAGCTCAGGCCTTAAGGAGGGGCAGACCAGGAAAAAATGGATAAACACACAAGACAATGCTCATAACACACCCCTCGCCCCTCCAGTTCATGCTCCTTCAGCAGCACAGAGCTCCAAGAAGAGGGGGCACCAATTCCCAGAGCAGTTTTCCTGCAGTCCCCCAGCGCTGGGTGGATGCAGATGACCAGTCCCTGCAGTGGCTGCTGGCACTCAGCACCAAGAGGCAAGAGACCAGAGAACTGGGCCCTGAGGCCTGGGATGTGCAGCATCCTCACCTCCAACCCCTGCCACTGCCCTGCACCCTCCGTGGGACACTGCCCAGCAGCAGAGCAGCAGCCAGCCACGAAGGCAAAGGAAGACCATCACCTTTGGGCTTGTCTGCTTTCGCGTAAGCAGGGCTCTCAGGAAAAGTCAGAAAATTCAGTGCTATTTGCATGTGTAGTTTAATGCACTCTGGAAAACACCTGAGAGCATCTTTTCCTTCTCTTTGTAGCTGCAGACAGATCATTTCTTCTTGCTGGAACATGCTGGGGAACTCCACGGTAGCACACACGAGGGAGGTTTTCTTGCAAAAATAACCTTATTGCAAACATTTGATGATGGCAAACTGCTCTCAGCCATGGACATTCCTACAGAGTCCTTCCCAGTTCCACAGGTGCTGCTGCTTCTGCTCAGCTTTGACAGCACTTGCGTTTCCTCTTCAAAACCAGCTTCTTGAGGCTCTCCATTTGGCTCTGTCTCGGACGGGCAGTTGGATGCAGCCTTTCTCCACTGATCCTGCTCAACGAGCATCTTGACCACAGGGGCTGTGTGGGTGACATAGGCAGGCCGTGGGCGGTGGCACTCAGTGAGGTGGCTGGGCAGACCCACATTGGCCAAGGACACCACGTTCTCTGGAACCCAAGAAACAGACACCATGAGAGCACAGCTGGTTACCTCCTGGCTTCTTCCCTCTCTGGGAAGGGTTAGAAAGAAGGATGCCTTTGGTGACACCACGGATGTTCTTTCAAGCTAAAGACCATGGCTGGGATAAGTGATGGCTTTGCTGTGGCCCTGGAGGGACAGGCAGCACTAAGGGACAGCAGTGCCACACTATGTAGTTACTCTGCATCAAGAGCCAAATAATCCATGCAAGGAATGCAGATGATGACCATCACTTCTGGCCTCGTGCTTTTATCTCCATAAAGCAGAAGGTGTGACTGCACTGACCAAGGAGGAGGTGCAGAAGTCAGTATCACACCAAGAGTCACAATGGGAAAGAAAAACAGAAGAGGTGAGGTAGGGGCTATAAAAATCAGCAGTTTTCAGTTCCACAACACAGGCCAACAGCCAAGATAGCAGGACAAGACCACAATGAAGATCTTTCCAGTCTCAACTTTCTGCCCTAAATCCTTTAATCTCTCAAGACTTGCACCTCAGACACAAAGACATGAGGTTGGTGGAAATGTCTGGACAGGTTTGATGGAGCCTGCTTGGGGAGAAGATACCTGTCTAAGGAAATTTCAAAGCACAAAATCCAAGAAATTGGATGAAAAAAGTTATGCAGAAGAAGACGCATTCAAATAGATCTTGGAAAATGAGATCACTGGTCTTAGTTTTTTTAGATACAAAGTTTTTCATAAAACCAGCTTGTTTTCACTTCAGTATCATCAGTCCTGTAAGAGTTATATAGTACAAAGGCAGAGGTTTCCATCTCGAGTTTTTTACTTTTCACTACCTTTGCCTAATGCAACAGTTAACTATCACTAGATAACTCAATTATGGGTTGCAACCATGCTTAGCGCAAACACCTGGGATAAGATGGTAGGAAAGTCCTGCTGATAAAGGCTCCCCTGAAGGTCCACAGCTGTGAAAGGCATGATCCTCCACGCTACAGCATAGTTAAAACTGGTCTGTAGCAAACCTTAAAACTGGCTTTGCAGGCAAGAAAGGAAGGAAGGTCAGAGAGATGGAGCAACCATCCTGCAACCAGGCTTTTGCTCAGGATATCCATACTTAGAGTCTGGGAGTCCCCCATGCATCAAGGACACAGAAGACTAAAGGAGAGTGGGTGGGGTGACTCTAGTTGTCCTTAAAATAGGCAAGGATGAGAAGTGGCTGCTGTGGAGGGCAGCAGAGCTGGAAAGGCTACTTGGTTTACAGATGTGGAAACCCCGATCCACAAAATGCTGCTAAATCATATTCCTTAGGTGCCTTATGAACCATTCCACACATGAGGAAGCAGAGACCAATAAATACTGATCACCTCCATAGCCATGTTTACCAGTTGTCCCTGGAGGGCACCGCAGCCCTTGGGTGGCCCTCCCCAAGCCCAGCCAAGCCAGGAGCACAGAGGTTAGAGGACATGAGTTGTTTCAGGTAGGATCCACAAACCTGCCCATGTCACATGCACATCACTGTTCCTAAATCAGGTGTAGGTGGAAAGTCTGATCCTTACCTCTCACTGTGAACCATTTCTTTTTTTATATTGGGAATAATTCTGCCTCTTTTCTCCCCTTGTCTCCTGCAGAGGGTCAGTCCTCTAGGACCAAGCTCTGTATATCATGGGGGAACACCCAGAACACCCTGGGGTTTGTTGAGACTCTGACATTCTGATCTGATACCCAGGGCCCTCCTCAGAAAAGCATCCCAACTTCGGGTGGTCAAGATGAGGATGTGCAGGGACAGACACAAGAGCATTTTTTCCAAAGTCCCACCATGAGCTCCTGGTGAACTTTAAAACTCAAAAGCCTGGAGCTTATATTTAGAGTTTTAGAGAAATGAGAGCTTCTAAAGAAACATGCTGCTTCAGGTCACCTTTTGCTAAAGTTGTAGAGCCAGATGGAGGGAGGAAAAGCATATTTGCAGCAGCTCCTGCACCAACCCACATCCCACAAGCTCCCAGGCCTGAGAACATGCACCACGGCTCCCGAGGCCTGTGTCCACACCACGGCTGCTGCCAGCTGGGCTGCGGGTGCACAAAGCATCAGGAATTTGCTTTTCCATAGGCTGCTCTCCCGCGGGCTCTGAGCTCTGCCTTCCCCTGCCCGGCCCCCCCGAGCTCCCGGCTGCAACCCGGGGCTCCTGCCAACGCCTGCTGACATTCTGCACCCCAAGGGCATGCGTCGAGGCTTCCCGAGCCGCTCTGACACCAGCTGTGCTCTCCAGAAAGCGCCAGCCAGGAGACGTCAGCAGATCCGAGCGGGACAACCCGCCAAGCACCAGCTGACAGCCCGGCACCGGACGGGCAGCCCAGGCTCTTCCCGAAGGGGGGAAAAAAAAAAAAAAAAAAAAAGAAAAACTGTTTCCATACCAAAAGCAGTTCCACTGCGCTCACAGCGCTGCGAAGTCCTGCTGCTCCAGACCTGTGCTGGATGGAGCTCGGCTTTGCCACCAGGAACAGCCCCACCAAAATAGTCTTGGTTTAAATTAGGAGCTTTCAGTGGCACACTCTGTGCTTCAATGAAATGTTTCTTTTGACAAGCTGAGATAGTCTGTGACTCTTATGATGCCTGTTCTGCCTCAGTCTTTGGAGGTTTTAACCCTGTTACAGAATTGGTTTATAATTTAGCTCATCGGGCTAAAAACAACACAAGAGGGTGAAAAAAAAAAAAAAAAAAAAAACACACAACACCTTGTTCAAGGATAATTCAAACTATTTTCCAAGTGTTTCTGATGGCCAGGTAATTCTGGCTCAGACCCATTGGATGGAGAGCAGGGAACCCTCAGCAGAAGGAAGCCCCACGCCAGGAGCTGCCCTGAGTGGTGGCCACAGAGGACACATTGGCGAGCATGTGGATGTGCGAGCAGGATCAGTCACCAAACATCACCAGCAAAGCACAAAGACCTGATCTGGAGCCCTCTCCCCACACACTTTATAGGTTGCAGCTCAGGTCTTTGTAAAACGAATCAGCCTGGTGAGTGGAACATGGGCACCCAGCCACCGTGCGGGGCTGAGCTGGAACTGGAATTAAG